TTTAGGGGTTTAGGGTTTAGGCCCCGTTAGGTGTAAGCTTGGGACCTTTGTGGCTTTGGAGGTTTACGGTTTATGGGTTTAGGGTTTAAGGTTGAGGGTTGTATGGGGGCTTTGGTTTAGGGTTTTAGTTTTGTGGGATTCTTGGGCTTGGTGGTATCAGGGTGTCAGGCTGCGGGGGTGCAGAGTTCAAGGTTAAAGTTAAAGTCCTGTCATAGCTCCAACTAAGGTACTAGAAACCCTACTTACTAAGTCACAAGATCCTCCAAGCAGGCTTTTGACTACTTCGAGATGTGGAGCATGCCCCACCAAGTAGCACAGGTGACCATGAATGGTGCCAGTGACTACAACTTGTTTGCCGTTGCCGTGATGTATCCCAATATCCTTATTATGAAGCGGTTTGCGTCCCAATACTATCATTGAGATGCAATGGCCTAAACCCTAAGCCCTAAACCGTAATGGCGTGAGGTTTACAGGCTCTGCTTGCAAGATCCAGCGACAGCTGCATGAAGGAAAGCGAAGCCGGGGTTCAAATCCTACGAATTTCAGCAAGTTGCGATGTCTGACTTCCTGTGGGCCAGTGTACATCCTAGATTAGGGCTTATAGTTTTATATTCCGCTTCATACTGAGACCCTGCAAACGGTGGGGTCTACAGCAGTGCAGTTTAAGGTGCAGGCTGGACACCCTAAACCCGAAACCCTGAACCCTAAACCCCTAAACCCCTAAACCCCTAAACCCTTAATCCTGAACCCTAAAACCGAAAAGCCCTTAACCCTAAACCCCTGAACCCTAAAACCTGTCGATTCCGGGCTTGGGGCGTCCAGGATGAAGAGAGTCGCCAGTGCTCGAAGCTTGCGGGTTCGGGATTTTCGGTTTGAGGGTTCAGGGTTTAGGGCTCAGGATTTAGGGCTCAGGATTTAGGGTTTAGGGTTCAGGATTTAGGGTTTAATCTACTAGGGTTCAGGATTTAGGGTTTAGGGTTCAGGATTTAAGGTTGAACGTACCTTTGCGCACAGTTTGCAGCTCCATGCCCATAAAGGGTTCTGCTAAGGGATTTAATTTAAGTTACCATAATAAGGAAACCCTATTATTTACTATAGATCCCTATTATGGTAACTTAAATTAAGTTCCTTAACAAGAACCCAGTAAAGGGTTCTGTTATTACTCTTCGTAGTGCCGATGGCGTTTGCGCAGGCAGCCCTGTGTTTTCTGAGTGGCGCGGAGTTTGAAAACTTTTGCACGGGACCGAAGCGCCTTCCCCCAATTAAACCCCTGACCCCAGAGCCCCTTAGGGTTTAAGGTTTCGGGTTTAGGATCAGAGCCTTGAACAGAAGGGTCTTTGGGCCCAACAGCCTTGAAAGTCCTTGGAAGCCTACAGTTTAGGGCGAAGAACCATACTGCCGTGCCCGCAGGAAATTCACAAAGGCTTGGAGGATGAGCTACAAAAGCGAGCAGCAGTGGCACCAAGATCTTTGCGGTTTGATTTTGGCGTCCAGGGCCTTCCTCGGCAACATCATGCAATATTTTTGCTGAGCACCGACCGAAAGGTTCTAAGGACTCAGTTCTGCAGGCTTCTGGACCCAACGAGCACACACTGCAAGGCTCACCCCAAAAGCTCACCAACACTAGGATCTTCGAGTTATCAGCCGCGAGGGGTGCCTCAAGTTGAGCCTCAAAACCAAAACCCTGAGGTTTAATATAGGGGCTTCCAATAATCACCTATACTATTTTGGTGGCTTCTTATTATAACTACACTACAAAATAAATGGCCCCAAAACCCTATTCTAATTATTAAGGCCCCTACATTAGGGGTCTGTATAACATATGCGTGATGTATCAGTATCCAATTATAGCCCCTAAACTTACCAGAAGATGTCCCACAGAACTGTTCCGAATACAATGCCGTTATACGAACTCTAGAAAGCCCCAATAGGAGCCCATACTATAGGGCATTAATAATTACCTATAATATTTTGGGGCTTCCTTATGAGAATTACAGTATAATGGGCCCCCTAGAACCCTACTCTAATTATTAAGGCCTCTATATTATGCCCCTTTCCCAACCCTAAAAACACTAAACCCTAAACCCTAAACCCTAAACCCTGAACCCTAAACCCTAATTCAGACACCGCTTGTTTTGGGCGCCTCAAAAAAGCGCCCTCAGAGCTTCCGAGCCCAGTACCACCGCGGTTTAGGGTTTAGGGTTTTAGGGTTTAGGGTTTAGGGTTTAGGGTTTTAGGGTTTAGGGTTTAGGGTTTAGGGTTTAGGGTTTTAGGGTGCCCTAGCGAGGCTGCAGATGCCAAGTTGGAGAAGAACTTGAAGGACTGTGCTTTTCGAGATGTTTCGACTTTGTTTCTTTCTGTTTGCATGGCCTCTATGGGTGCTTAAGTGGGATCCGGGATTTTTCGTCGGTGTCAGAGGATGTGATTCTTTCTGAGCTGCACTCATTTCCCTAAACCCTAAACCAAACACCCTGAGCCTTGCCTGACTTGGTCCAGGGCTTACCCATAGGCCCCAAAGTAGTTCTTTTTTGGGGGTTCATATATAGAATCCTATAAGCCTATAAGGTAACCCCAAAAAGGAACTACTATGGGGCCTGGGTAGGGGTTACAGTTTTCGCCAGCCATTGGCAG